TTTGTGTATAACAAATATATATATTGAATATTGTATATCTGTATCGTAATATTTAGTGAACTTGGTATGATAGTGATATATTACGATATGCAAAATTTTATATCATTATCATATCGAAAACCTACGGTACAATATCATACTGTACTAAAAATACTCCTTCGTTCGCCTCTAAGGGTCATATTTACCTGTTACGTCATTGTACTTAACATTAAAAATATTCTTATATTTGTACTTTTTTTTTGTGCAAATATCCTTCTATCAGTATTATAAGACACTAACGAAAGTATTTTTGCAATTTTTTTCTAAATTTGTACTACGTTTTGATATAATAATTAATAGGCAAATTGTCCATAACTCCCTTATAGTTTTGAAACTCACCGTAAATCCCCCTTTACTTTAAAAATTGCATAGAGCCCCCTTATACTTTAAAAAATGTTGCATGAAACCCCTATGTGATTTCGAAACTCAGTGTAAATCTCCACTTTAGTTAAAAAAAATTGCATGACGCTTCCTTATACTTAAAAAAATATTGCATGAAATCACCCGCCATATAAAAAAATATGGATAGGAAATCATTATCCCATCACACAACGAAGGTTTCATGGGGGTGAGTTTCATGTAACGTTTTTGAATAATAGGGGAGTGTCATGATATTTTTAAAGTATAGAGAGATTTTAGGCAGAATTTTGAAACCAGCAATTTTACCTAATTAATATTTAAAGACCAACATGCAAAAAGTAAATGAGACCCTTAAAGTCAGATGGATGTAGTACAATATACCAAAAACCCATTATAGACAATAATATTTTTAATATTTTTTTCACCTTTAATAAATATTATAAAGATAAGTGTTATGGGCGCACGTGTGTATTTGTAAAGTTGGATGAATTTGAATAGAGAAGATAAAAGTTAAAAAATAAAAAAATAATAAAAATTTCTTATTTTTTACTGACATTCATGAATTTCTTTCAAATTATTTTTTATTTTAAATTTAATATGATTTAAATTTGAATATAAATTTAATATGAATTTTGTAAGATTTCACTTATGATTTACATTAGGTAGTATGTTTGTTTTTTTGTTTTGAAATATACAAAGACCATGCTAAAAAATTATTTAAGGTTGAATTTGTTAAGAACAACGGAATTGCAGATAAATATGATAACAAAAAATTGAATTTAGAAAAAAAAAAAAAGGGTGAAATAAGAATTAATTATATTGTTTAATAAAATAAAAATTTTAATTGAAATAAATGTAACATAAAATCAATTATTATTTATTATATGAATCTATATAAAAGGTAAAAAAAATTAAGAAAAAATTGCACAAATTAATAATTTTAAGTAATACGACTACTAATAATAATAATAATTCTATTATTTCTATGTAAAACTCTCAAATGGCAATGATGGTGTGATCATGGTGACGAAAATAGAGGAGAAGATTTGGAAGAAAATAAAAAATAAAAAATGTTTTTAATAAACAATAAAAAAAGTTTTTTTTTTTTTTTAATTACATGAAACTAATATAAATTAGATTTTTTCTTACGTTGAGCAATTATCATAGAACTTTTGATAATCTGCCATTTTTCATCACCAAAATGGTATGAATATGCATCATCATCCAGCCTACTAGTGGAAACTAGATGCAATCGAACATTGGGAGCATGTCTCACATCCTTCAACGCTAGTGTGTATCCACTATTGGTATTCAAACACACTGTTTATGTGCCTACAACTTTCGCCAAGCTATCGTTTCCCATCTTCAAGACTTTAAAGTCTCCCGAAGTATATGATGTGAAGTAATCTCTATTGGCAGTCACATGAAATGCAGCTCCACTATCCACAACCCAACTAGTCTCATTTTGGATAAAATTATTTCCCATTCCTCATACACAATGATGAGATCATCCGGCATTGTTGTATTCACACGATCATTGTTCCTATCATCATTTTTCTACTAATATTTGTTGTCCTTACCTTTCTGCTCTTTTTTCAATTTGAAAAGCTACCTTTTGATGTGTCCCTGTTTGTCACGATGATGACACTCAAGGTCTATGTAGTTTGGCTTTGACTTACTTTTTCCTCGGCTCTTTCTCGATTCCCATGATCTCGGCCTATATTCCGACTTCTCCCACTATTATTCATAACTAGGATCTTCAAATGAGAAGATACATTGCCAAGAGTCTTCCTTCTTACCTTTTCATTCAAAATGGTATTTTTGATAAACTCCAAAGTGACTATACCATCGGGCGCAAAATTAAGTAAAGAGTCTGAAACCTTCTCATGAATCTGGAAGAGTACTAAGTAGCCGCAAACCAAGTACCTCATCATCAAACTTCACTCCCATGCCTTACAACTTATCGAAGCATCATTGAAATTCATTTATGTGGTTGGAAATAGACTTGCTCTCATGATAACTCAATCGCGTAGCCTGCTTGAGTAAAAACAACTAATTGTTTCCAGTCTTCGAAGCATATAAACTTTATAGCTTGCCCCATAATCTTTTGGCATTGGTCTAATTCATAAATGTGATTCAAAAATTGTCCTATACTCATTGCTTTATGAAACCACATACTTGTCGATGCTCCAATTCCAATATGCATCAGTAGTTTTAATATCAAGCTTTGCCGCAGAAAATACTGGCCCGTGTAACTTCTTCACATATAGAAGATCATTTATCATCTTTTTCCAAACATGATAGTTTGTTCCATCTAAGAAAATCATTCTTCCTAAGTTCACATCCATCATTCAATGGTGAATAACACTCCCAAACAACCTTACTCTGATACCACTTTGTATTGGGAAAATACCAAAAGAAGAAGAAAATGCAAACAAAAAATATCAGACGTGGATGTACTCTTAAGCGTGGGCACGCCTAAGAAACATATAAGGACGTGGAGCGTAGGTGTGGCTATACGTGATCACACCTAAGAAGGGTGTTCAAACTATCCTATCAAACTCTTTCCCTCCAATCAATTATTCTTTCCACCAAAATACGATGGGTGATAACCACTAATAAATCATAGAAATAATATTACGGGATACAAAAATTTTTAGCGTGGAAAATTCGTTCAAAATGAAGGATAAAAACTATGGGGCCTAACACCCACTACAAGAAAAAATCATTTTTGTAACAAAACTTTTTTTTTCTCTAAATCTACTTTTTCCGTTACTAATGACATTAGAGACGGAATTAGTAATAGAATTACGTTAGCTACGTGAACTTTAGGGACGGAATTCCGTTACAAATATATATTTTTTTGTAGTGACCTGACCCAAGGGAAAATCTACTATATCAAAAAATGTTCGTATAATCAAAGATAACAACAACTAAAAGGCTATCAAACTATACACCCAATTACAAGAATCGAACCCCAATAACAATAGATTTCCCAACTACAAACAACCCATTCCAATCACCAACCAACAAGATTCAAAATCGAATCCAAACAAGTAAATAGTGAGAAATCAACGATACCAAGAAGAACATCCAAGGATGATGAGACCGTTGATCGGAACCGAATTGAAAAAATTCTCTCTTGTTTGTCGATTCTTTTGCTTGCATGGATAACAGTTGTTTCTTTCTCAATCTCTCATCTCAAATTTGATCCCACTCTCAACTGTAAGGTCTAGGACAACAATTGACAAAAATAGACTCTCAATTCTTATGAGCTAATATGAATTGTTGGACCTCCTAATACCTGTTTTTTCTGATCAAATTTAGAGTTATTGCTGTAGACTCTGAAAATTATCGGCGTTGATCGAATTGGACTGCAATCTTGCAGCTAGAAATCCCAAACCACGACACAACCAGGAGTTGAATTCAATTATGCATGTTCATTCAAAATTAATGGAAACAAGGAAGTTTGCTTTGCTTTTGATTTCTCAATTGAAGGCGTGTTTGTTTGAGTTCTGATTTCTAAATTTCATAATATTATTTTTGCCTAATTCCTAGTGTAAATTCAGTTTGGATTCAGTATTATTAAATTGGGGTTTATTCAAAGTTGCTTTGTTAATTAAATTGTATATTTGTTTACAAGATACTGTTCGATAAAGATCATCGATCCGAAATATAAATTCATAGCACGAATTTATTATATTTTCACCGCTCACTCTCCATATATCTATTTGCTTTTTTTCACATAGATTTTAAGATATTAATAATTATAAATAAATTGTACAATGATAAAAAAGTTACTTCTCAACTTATTTTCTTCTTAATAATATTTTTTATAATATTTCGTCAAAATATAGAGATTTTTTTTTTTTATCAAGTAAAAATATTTTAGATAATTACTAAAGTAATGCAGCATGAAAGAACAAAATAAGAAAAATAAATAAATAAATAAATCATGAAGAAAACGTTAATATAAAATGTTGTATATATTAGTTTTTTAAAATTTAGTTTTTTTAGGGTTTAGGTTTATCCTTTGTCAAGATTATTTAATTATATAAATTATCCGAGCTCATGGGGAACGAATTTCAAACACAATCAAATAACTAAAAATTGTTTAATAAATTCTTTAGTTGTTATACACAACACAACAACTACGTCGACGGAACGTGGATGCTTTATAATCATGTATTCTACCGCCTCACTCACCTATATATATATATGTATGTCTTTGGTTATAAAATGGATACCGAAAAATCCTTTTCTCCCTCCCTTTCCATTCATTGCATCTTTCTATCTGAGCATTTATTGCATACTAATATATATATATATATATAATATAAGTGTAATAATTACTCATATACATACAGACATACACAACCGTACACCCGTATAGACATATATACATATACACATTTATTAATATTATATTATTATTATTATATAACACGTTATCAGCACGAGGACTCTTGTCTATTTTATTTTTGGTAAGTTTTATTTTTATATTATCTATTTTTTATACTATGGAAAATCTTGCAAAATTTTCTTTTAAACCTTTATCTCTCACCGGCAACAATTTTCTGACTTGGTCCCTGGATGTAGAAATGCATCTGGTTTCAATGGGCCTTGTTCATACAATTGCCAGTGAAAATATGGCTACAAGCCAAGATCGGGCTAAGGCTATTATTTTCATCCGTCATCATTTGGACATTCCTCTACAGTTTGAATATTTGACGGTGAAAGATCCACTTGATTTGTGGAACGAATTGAGGAAGAGATTTGGGCACTTGAAATATATCACTCTCCCCAAAGCCCAACATGATTGGCTTAACCTGCGGTTGCAGGATTTTAAAACTGTTACAGATTACAACTCTGCTATCCATCAGATTACATCTCAGTTGAAACTCTGCAGAGAAAATGTTACTGAGAATGATAACTTGGAGAAGACTTTCTCTACCTTTCATGCTTCTAATGTTGTGTTGCAACAGCAGTATCGCGAGAAAAATTTTCAAAAGTACTCACAGCTCATTGCATGTCTTTTATTAGCTGAGCAAAATAATGAGTTACTGATGAAAAATCATCAGTCCCGGCCCACTGGTTCCAGTCCGTTCCCTGAAGCGAACGTGACATTTTCTGAACGAGCCCGAGGACGTGGTAGAGGCCGTGGACGTGGTCGCGGTCGCGGTCGTGAGAGTAAACGCGGTCGATATACCCCTTACAATCGCCGCAGTTTTGACATTAACAGGATGCAGAGTAAACCCCAACATGGGGATATAGCCGAAAAGGCTAAACAGGAAAAGAGGCAAATCGGCAGTTGTAATCGGTGTGGCATTGAAGACCATTGGGCCAATACCTGCAGAACATCCAAACACCTAGCCGATCTTTATCAAGCCTCACTGCAGAAAAAGGGGAAGGAGGTCGAGACTAATCACGTTGATAACGATAACGACCCCGATGATGATCTTTTGGATTATGACACAACACATCTTGATATAACAGATTTTGTCGTAGATCCAGTAAACTCCCAGTGATAGACATATTATGTCATTTTATATTATGTTTTGTAATATTTAAATTATCGCGTACTACCTTTTTGTAATACATTTTGTAATATTTATATTTTTCTCTATTAATACTGCGTTTATTTATATTTGAAGGTTAAATGGATGCCAAACATAATGATGCAAATATGTGTTTCATTGACAGTGCAACGACATATACCATATTGAAACACGAAAAATATTTCTCCCATTTGAAAAGAGAAAAGATGAATGTCAATACAATAAGTGGCAGTGCAAAATTAGTTGAAGGCTCTGGAGAAGCCATTATATTTCTCCCCGCGGGGACGAAAATTGTGATACAGTATGCGCTGTTGGCCACTAAAGCTCGAAGAAATCTACTGAGCTTTCATGACATTCGGAAAAATGGTTATCACATTGAAACTATGAGTGATACCGATGGTGACTTTTTATTGATCACCAATATCATTGATAAAAGGAAATGCATAATTGAGAGATTACCCTAACTCTCTACTGGCTTATATTATACCAGATTAGGTGTTGTTGAAACACACCTCACGGTAGATCAAAAGACTACCGATTTTCAAATATGACATGATCGCCTTGGGCATCCTAGCAGTATAATGATGAGGCGAATAATTGGGAATTCGCATGGCCATTCATTAAAAGGTCAAAAAGTGTTAAACTCAAATGAGTTAACATGTGTTGCCTGCTGTAACACCCCCAGTTGGCTCATACTGGAAATGCTACCGCCACACTGCATCATGAGGTCGTCACCTCCTACTTCGGGCCCCACAACACAGTGTTAAGGCTAAAATTAATTATATAAGCATTTTATTATTCCCAAAAAAAACAAGTTTATAAATATTTACAAAAACTTACTCCCAAAACGGGAGGTTTTTTTTCTAGTTAGAATTTACATATAATACATCAGATGCAGTTCACTCATTCAACCCGTCTTTCTATCTCCCGAGACGTCCCCTGTCCCGGAGGTGCCATGCGTACCTGAATCAAATATTTTTCTTAAAAGCAGTCTAGAATTAAATCCATTTTAAGAACTAACATAAAATATGCCATGTCATGCTCGAAAATAGAGTTTAATTTCCGTCATTTGCAAAATAAATGCCATGCCATGCCCATACTGAAATAATGTAACAATAATGTCAAAATCGACAACTCATGCACATATACCCATATACACATGTCCAAGTGAGCAGCCGGAATAACCTCGGCTCCATAGTAACAGCTCACTAGACTATCATCAATAAATAGCCGGAAAATCCTCGGCTCAAGGAAGGACCTGGTAAACCCATAATAATATAACGGTCACCCGGTCACTCCCATATACCCACCATACGACTCCCGCAATCAATACATGGATAGTCGAACGTTGTCGCCATTAACCACCAGACACCCCATAGTCTGTGATAGCGAATATAGGACCCTCCTGTCTAGCCCTACCCCGTGTAACGTAGTAGAATCCGTGCAACCTGGAATCACCCGAAGGAAACCCGGAAACTCTACTCCTCCTCTCACGCCCTAACGGGATCGCGTTTGGAGTTTGGCATATGATCCTAAACTACCGGTAGACCTCACTAGTGATCAGTCCAATGAGTGGAACAACACCGAACACGAATGATTAGACCAAATACGTCTCAACTGCAATGGGTCTAATCCCTGAATGACCGTGCGACTAAGTCACCCAGTTGCCCGACTACTATCGTCCACTATCGCCAAAGTGTTACGGTACATCGGGGTCGAATATCCTAACCCCAGATGATGCCCTCGCCTAGCACTACCGCACACGGCGACTAAACGATAGATCCATAAAACATATCCGATAAATCGTGCAATGTGTGCAGCATGTCAATAAGTGAATCTAATGAAAAGGGCTGGTGAGACGGCCCACCTATCCTCCTTTTTATAAATTCACCAACACGATCAAATACGTATATCAAATATCGTAAAACGAAGTTTCACACATGCATATACACACACATATATACATATATAGATGCACTGACCAAATGATTCCACATAATATCATATCAATATCAGAATCAGAATCACATGCAACATAAATACCTAATTTCTTAAAATTAGATTTAATTCCCTACTGCTTACCTCCTACCGATACTTTCTGGATTTTATAACTTCACCCAAATCTCCTCCAACGTACACCTGTCCCATTATTTACTCAAATCAGATGAGCTTTATGCTTATTCTCAGGAGCTACCTGCTTATTCAAAAGCTAATTTCTATAATTAACTCGTCGGGCTCCAAACTTTTATATTTAGTAGAATATGATATTCTAGCTATAAAATCCTTCTACCTCATAATATTTATATTGCCCGATTATTAAATAAAAATACGCAAAGGTATGAACAAGCAGGCAGGTGCGATATACTGCCGTTTTCCATTCGGCTCGGATCGATACGAAATTCTCAGAATATAATACTAGGACTACGAATAGGCTATTAGCTAAAGAAATTCGTCGATTAAATAGTCAAATAGGCGGTTATGAATTTTTGAAGAATTTCTAATTTAATACTCCAATATCAAAATTCGTATTAAAATTTATAATCGGACTCTACGAATAGCAAGGAATACCATACCCAAGTCGGAATTAGAATCGGACGGCTAAATCTTTTTCTTTCCTTTTTTTCTTCTTTCTCTTCTTTCTCCTTCGCGTTCTTCTGCTTCGGCCTTCCTTGACAGGTGGGTTTGATTTGTTATATATATATATATAATTATATTATTATTATATATTATATTATATTATATTATATTATTATTATTAACGTTATTATTATTATTATTATTATAAATATTATCTTCATCATCATTACCTTTATTATTATTATATTATTATATATTTTATATTTTATATTTATATTTATCGATATTTATCCGTTTAACAGTCTTTTCAATCATAATTAATATATAAAATGGGAATAAAATTTATCCCAAAATATTAATTTCTTGATTCCAAAATATTATAAAAATATTTATTTGCTATAATAATATTATTTTATACATTCCGAAATCGGGGCATTACAATCCACTCCCCCTTAAAAAGATTTCGTCCCCGAAATCTAAACTCAAACACATAACAAGGCAACTTAATTAAACAATTGTGGGTATGCTTTGAACATTTCTTGTTCTACTTCCCACGTGGCTTCTTCCGCTCCATGTCTGGACCACATTACTTTCACCATACGAATATCTCGATTCCTCATGGTTCGGACCTTTGTGTCCATGATCCACAGAGGCTTTTCTTCATACGAAAGATCTTCATTCAGCTCTATCTCATCTGGAGACAAAATATGAGAAGGATCTGCAACATACCTACGAAGCTGAGATATATGAAACACATTATGGATACGCTCCATAGAATTTGGAAGTGCCAACCGATAGGCCCAATCACCAACTCGATCGGCAATTTCATAAGGTCCAACATAACGCGGACTCAATTTTCCTTTAATCCCAAACCTTCTAATACCTTTCATTGGGGATACTTTCAATAGGACAAAATCTCCACTTTGAAATTGACCCTCACGTCGGGCTCTATCGGCATAACTCTTTTGACGATCTTGAGCTGCCTTCATCTTTTCTCTGATAATTCGAATCTTATTTTTCGATTCCTCAATCATTTCCGGACCCAGTATCAGTCGATCACTCATATCGTCCCAACTCAAAGGAGTTCTGCATTTTCGACCATAAAGAGCTTCAAAAGGAGCCATTCCGATACTTGCTTGATGGCTATTATTATATGAAAATTCCACTAAATCCAAGTGGTCTTCCCAACTCCCTTGAAATTCCATAGCGCAAGCTCTTAGCATATCTTCCAGAATACGGATAGTTCTTTCTGACTGACCATCAGTCATAGGATGGAATGCAGTACTCATATGCAACTGAGTACCAAAGGCTTCCTGTAATTGTTGCCAAAATCGAGATTGAAAACGTGGATCACGATCTGATATGATCACCTCAGGAATACCGTGTCGTTTAACCACATAATGAACATATAATTTGGCCAATTTCTGCATACTCCAAGTCATACGTACTGGAATGAACACTGCTGACTTGGTCAATCTGTCTATAATTACCCAAATTGCATCTGTTCCCGACTTTGACCTTGGAAGTCCTGTTACAAAATCCATTGCGATAGAATCCCATTTCCAGAGTGGAACTTCTAAAGGTTGTAGCAACCCCATTGGTCTATGATGTTCTGCTTTTACCTTTTGACAATTTAAACATCGTGCAACAAATTTGGCTACATCCTTCTTCATGCCCTTCCACCAAAAGTGTTGACGTAGGTCATGATACATTTTATTTCCCCCCGGATGCACTGAGTATGGTGTATTATGAGCCTCACTCATAATCTGCTCTTTCAAATCATTTCGATCCTTTGGGATACACCACCTCCCGTGAAATCGAAGACTCCCATCTGGAGCAATATTAAAATTTTGAGTCTGACCGTACTGAACTTTCACTGCAAGCTCAACCATTTTATTATCTTCCATTTGAGCCGCTCTAATGCGATCATAAATTTCAGGCTCAACTTGTATCATTTGCAAATATCCCCGAGTCATACCCCGTCCAAGTACCTCAATTTCCATCCGCGCTAAATCTTGGCACAGTTCATCAGCAACCGACATGAAGCCCAAGTTATGCCTTGGTTTTCGACTTAAGGCATCGGCTACCACATTTGCTTTGCCTTCATGATACACAATTTCAAGATCATAATCCTTCACCAATTCTAACCATCTTCTTTGTCTTAAATTCAATTCTTTTTGGGTGAAGATATATTTCAAACTTTGATGGTCAGTAAATATTCTGCAATGGGCTCCATAAAGATAGTGTCTCCAAATCTTCAAAGCAAACACCACTGCTGCCATTTCCAAGTCGTGTGTCGGATAATTCTCTTCGTGAGGTTTTAGTTGTCGTGATGCATAAGCAATAACTCTTTGATTCTGCATTAAGACACATCCCAATCCCTGCTTCGAAGC